TCCTCCTCCTCTTCCTCCTCTTCCTCTTCTTCTTCTTCTTCTTCTTCTTCTTCTTCTTCTTCTTCTTCTTCTCTCGTCTCCTCCTCCTCCTCCTCCTCCTCTTCCTCCTCCTCTTCCTCTTCTTCTTCTTCTTCTCTCGTCTCCTCCTCAGCGTTAATTAACAGACCTTCCTGCAAGAGTTCCTCCAGAATACGAAACTCTTCCACCTGATGATGCAAACGGCTGGAAACAGTTTCCTCTCCGCCGTCGACACCTCCTCTTTATGAGAGCGCCTCAGCGTTTGCTGCCGCTATATCTCTGGAATTTTTTTTTTTTATTATTTTAGTGGCACTGCAGTGGCCAAAAAGCTTATTTTGCAGCCGGAGATAAGTATTTATGTGTGTGTGTGTGTGTGTGTGTGTGTGTGTGTGTGTGTGTGTGAGCAAAGTCCTTTGTGCTGCCTGATGGAAAGAGAGTGGGCCGCGGCGTATCACAGCTTGGCAATAATGTTCTTTCTGCACATCTGTGTCCACACACACACACACACACACACACACACACACACAGAACCTCATATTTTGGTGCAGGCTGAGGCTGAAAGAGAGAGAGATGAGAGAGAAAATCAGCAAAAAAGAAATGAAAAAAATATGTGAAATGAAAAGAGTCCTGGGTCAGATGTGAAGTACTGAGTACTGCGTATTTGCAGTACTCAGTACTCAGTACTGCGTATTTGCAGTCAACTCCTAGTCCAGACCTGGTACTTGATTCTGACCTGGTCTTCTTGACTTTTTGATGCGTTTTATGGAGTAGTTAATTATTTAGTTTTTGGAAGTTGAAAAATAATAATTGACTGTAACAGAACCAGGTTAACTGGTTAACTGGTTAACTGGTAAATCCTTCATAGAAACCTGCAAGTTCTTTCTACGTACGTGTTCACGCTAAAAGTTCTGGAACATGGAAGAACATTTGGTAAGAGCGGCGTCGGGTTGTTGCAGATGAAGCAGCAGGGGGAGCTGTTCTTCAGGATGTGACCTGAAGCTGAATTTGAATCTGGGGAAAAAAAAAAAAAAAAAAACGGCTTCAGTTTACGACTGGTCCAAAAGATTGATGTAAACAAAACAAAAAATCCGAATAGTTCGTATGAATTCACTGGGCTACGACACGAGGGTGAAAACATGAACATTTGAGTCGTAGTTAATTAGCATTAATCGTGTTGTAAATCACTGGATTTTTTTAAGCATATTTCAAAGTTCTGTTGATGAAAAAAATAATAAAGTTGTCCGAGTGCTGGACTATTTATCAATAAAAGTCTTTAATATTTACTCATGACAATAACGACGTGTTTTTGTCTGACCGTTGTTGGAGACGCAGTCGGTCAACGGTTGGTCAACAGTCGGTCAACAGTCGGTCAACGGTCGGTCTGTCTGAGGTCTTTCTGACTGACCCTCCGTCTCGTGCCGACCTTCTTCTTCCCTCAGACGATTTCACACTGAAACTCACTGTTAGTAAAAAACACAAACAGTGAGAAAGGGGGCAGTAAACGCAGCATATAAACCATAAATACACTCAGCGAATCAGCGCCGCAGCCTCCGCGCGGCGAGCGGCGGTCGATGTCAGCGCGCGTGTGTGTGTGTGTGTGTGTGTAGCTCAATAAACTGCAATAAAAGTTGGCAGCTCATGGCCAGGTCACAATGAAAGGAACTCAGAATTGATTTCTCTCTCTCTCCCTCTCTCTCTCCCCTCCCCTCCCTGTTCCTGTGGTGCAGTGGGCTGCGTTCGATTCTCCCAGGAGCCGTCAGATCAGTCGGTGGTGCTGGGGGAGAAGGCGGTGCTGTCCTGCGTGGTCTTCAACTACACCGGCATCGTCCAGTGGACCAAGGACGGCCTGGCCCTCGGCATCAGTGAGGGACTGAGAGGTAAGGAAATGCCCAAACTCTCACTCCTCAGTCTCACCCCTTGTGCCCCCCCACCCCCCCACCCC